GACTTTGCGTGGTGTGAATGACTGGCTACTTATAGTTCCAAAATTTGTGCTTCGGATGACGAATGCTTTAGCTAGCTGATATGCAGGAACAAAAGCGGACTTGTTTTAATATGCCTCTGCACTAGCTGCAAGAGCTGTATGCGAGCAAAGTACCTTGGAGGCTGGATGCATTGAGAGGTTGTGCAGCGGACTTATCAAAGGCTGACCCCAGCCTTTATCTTCACTCCATTTTATCTGCAAATTACATTTAGAGATGAAACAAGTGATTGTGTTCAGCAAAAACTGACAAAAACAAAAAACAAAAAAAGAAAAATGGTCTTCATTCAAATGTACACAGACTTTTATTACCAACCCTATTAGGCGAGAGAGGAAGGAAAGCGATTGGTTAGTGTATGATACTGAAAGTCCTTTAAATAAACTGTACTTTCAAAAAGAGTAGCACTTTGACGCAAACAAATGTCCTGCTCTTTTGCTGGAGCATGCGGCTGATTGGCATGCAAATGCTAGTTCGATGAAATACTGTAAAAAAAACTTATGATTTCTTTTAATTTTTTTTTATTTTATAATACCGCTAAGTGCTTGTTGAAAGACACTTATGTGTGCTGGGCAAATTTGGGAAAATGTTGCAGTTCTAATAACAGTGGATCTGCAAAGCAAATTCCCCATTTTGTGGAATATCTCACAAATAACGATTTCTGCATGGCAGCTCTAGGACTAGTGGCCGAAGGAGAATTCAGGACGAATAAGCAGCAAAAAAACAGCTCAGAAAAAGCGAGCTGAAAGGAATCGAACTGAATGGTCTGTTTGTGAAAATTACTGTAACAGCATTTTAGCAGTTACCTCAAGCATATGGTCAGCAAACTGATGACCAAACACTAACTGTGTTTCCGGTCCCGGCTTCTCTTTCATTTGTTCCGGCGTTGCCTTTATGATTTTCAGGTCCCGGTACTGAAATGCACGCTTATCATACAAACCACACTGTTTATCAGTGAATGCATCATGCTCTAACAGCTACTGCTTTTGCAAACTGCTTATAGCCGATGTTCAGTGATTTTTGATATTTACTGGCCATTTATTTATGTAATGAGCGAAAGGACGAACCAGGAATGATGACTCCGGTGGAGGGCTGGTCGTCTTGGTGGCTGCTGTACAAAAACTGCATTCGATCAGCTCTGAGCGCAACAGCAAACGCCTGCCAGATCGAATTAAACCGTTTAACATCTTCGAACTGATCAGCTCCATTGCCGAATTCATGATTGTTGCTCTGGAAATGTATAATTAGTTCTTCTCAGTTCCTTAACAAAAAAGGCGTGTCATGGCCATTCTTTTTTTAACATCTGTGGCAAAATCTTGTGAGTCAAAAAGTCTGAGCTATTTTTTAAATAAAAATGCGCATACTCACGTACCAGATAGCTTACCACTTTATGATACAATCAACATAAAATGTAAAAAAAGAAAATGTGAGACAGCACCACATGAAATAATGAAAATTCTTGTTTGATTTTGAAAGAGCCCATTCCCTCTTGCTGCTGGTTAAACAAGCCAGTACAAAGCAGCAGCAAAATCTGACCGGTAAAAAAATCTGTCACCCGTTCAGCTGTAGAAGGAATGAGCAAACTCTTCTGAACTTTTGGAGATTTAAAGCAAGGAAACAGTCTTTTTTTTCGCACTCAGGATTAACGACAAAAAGATTTGAATCATCAGGGCACATACTGTAATGGCACAGAGCGACGGCTAAAAAGGAATTGTGTCCGAAATTAGTTCTAAAAACATCAAGGCGAGCTTTCTGAAATACGAAGTGCTACATGGAAATAACGAGCAGTAGTTAGTGGAAATAAAGAGATGAATCTGGAAGATAAATCTGATCGACCAAGATCTCGATTTTCTATTTCAGGAGTGGGCACATGACGTAAATAGCAGAGAGAGTCGTGCGGACTGGGCATGTGACGCATTTAGCAAGGATTTCTTTGATGCGCGAGTTTCCATTAAGCCCCAGGCCCCCTTCTATTACCTTCACATGCGTGCAAGCATACAAGCTGTTTTCTACAGGCGACAGATAGAACCGCGAAAGAAAGATCAGCCGAGGGTGCGACTTGGTGAATTGAGTGGAGGTGGATTTTGGCATTTTTTGCTGATGCTATGAGTAAAATGTTAAGCAAATTAATAAATTTTACGCATCTCTGAACCTGAGCCGAAACTTAATCTCATGCATTGCGTGCTGTCTAAGCGATTTCTGAGTAAGTAGGTGATTTTTCCCCCTTTTCCTCAATGCAGCACAGCGCAGTGAATGTACAGATCATCAGTTCATTGAGGAGTCCAATCAAAAATAAAAATTTTTGAAGGAATTATTATTACTGTTATTCATTTTTATTGCCAGTTAATGGCAAGAATAATTTCTAATTAAAAAAAATTTTTGGTTCGGAGGCTAAAAAGTGTCATTTAAAAAGTGACATCATGTGCGGCGCGGCCGGTTCTTTTGGTGGAAAAAACAAATCTTATCGCCCACTGTCGGAATTGTACCTCAAGCATTTTTACTTGTTTCGCTACTTTAGTTTTTATCTGTTCGGAGGCCTGGCCTACAAAAACCAACAAAGTAGACAGAAATCCTGAAATGGCGGAACGAAAAGAAAAACTTTAGAGACAAAGAAAACACTGCTTCTGTATTTTGCAGACAAACCATCCAGCAAGGAAAGGCTGTGGAATGTTGATGGAATGCACGAGATAATATATTTGAAACTAAAACAGAACAGCGCATATGGTAGGAGGCCTAGGCCCCCTACGTTTTAGCGATTGTGCCGGTACAAAACCAAATAACACAAAGATCCGACGTCAAAGGACAACACAAAATATATGGAGAATTACTGCACTGTTACACTTTTAAAAGTTTCAGTTTTATAGTTTTGTTTGTTCAAAAGACGAGAAAGCACATGCTTAATTGTGAATGACGGGTTGAATAAAACGTTTTAGGGCTTGAGTATGATTTTAAATGAAATTCATGCATTA